CAGAGGAACCCAGAGACGGGAGTAGCCACTGCAGCTGGGGATCACGGGGTAGCTAAGCTGGGCCTCGAATAGTGAGCTCACCTGAACCTGCGGAGGTGGAGGGGGTGTGAATGGTAGTCAACTGGACCGGGATGTGTTGGAGTCGAGGGCAGTGAAGGGAGATGAGACTGGAGGGTGGGCAGGAATAAAGGATGGTGAGTTCACAGTGGAGTCACTGGGAAGGACTTCCAAGACCTTCTAGCTGGTGGAAGAGGGCAGGGAGTTCTGTTTCATTCATTCGATACCGTGTCCTCAGAGCCCCGAACTGATGCTTGGCACATAGTAGGTGTTCAATAAGTAATTGTGGAATGAGTGAGTGAGTGGTCAGATGTGCATCTTAGAAATAGTGGGAGGGATTGGAGAGGGCAAGGAGGAGGCAGGTGGGCAGTGAGGAGGTGGGAAGGAAGCAGTCGCACTGTGGGGTGCGGAAGAGCACGGCAGTGGGCTGGGCAGTGAGGAAGTGGGGTCGGGGGGTGGCAGAAAGAGCAGGTAGGCAGCAGAGCCTCTAGGCCCAACGCCAGGTTGTGTGAGGCAGGTTGAGTTTTATGCCAACCTTGAAGTGGGTTTCGTGGCCCCCTCCCGGAGGCAGCTTCTGCAGAGCGGGGCCAAGTCTGCTCTTCTGTAGCGCCCACCCTTTGCCTGAGGCCCAGTTTTGCTGAACTTGTATGAAGGGTTAAAGAGATCCCCAGGCCTTCTTTGGACAGCTTCCTTGGGTCAGAAACCAGGCCTCTGGCCAAAGGCTATCTCACGTGCCCCTTCTAGTTTGCGGCAAGAGAAAGTGGAAAGGGGGCCATGTGGGGACACAGCCCCAGGCTCTGCTCCTCTATGTGGGGGTCCTGTGTGTGTCCCTGCGACTCCTCCTTCTGCCCTGCCCCATACTCTGCTGAAGCTGGGCTGGCTGTGTGGGGTGTTCAAAGCCTCCAGGCTGGGAGGAAGGTCCCCTGCTTTCCTCCCCACTTGAGCTGCAGGAGGGCTTTACAGACATGTGCTCAGAGGCAGCGGGATGGACACACTGGGCCCCAGGTCCCTGGTGTCAGCTCTTCTCTCTTGGGTTCTGAGGAGGAATCTGAGCTCCTCTCATTCCCTGGTGGAAAAGACCCCAGAACCCCCTGCCCTCCCAAATCTCCCCAGGTGCCCACACTCACAGAGGCCTGGTCTCATCACCTGCCATCCGGGCACCAAGTGTTTTATTAGAGTCCAATTTTTATCGGCACCGCGGAGAAAGAGGGAGGAGAAATTAGAGAGGGGGGGGGAACCCGGACCAGACCCCAGACCCCTCCCCTCACCAGAGCCCAGGGCATCTGCCCTGTTGGGCCAAGGAAGACTTTGTGAGATCCCTGAGGGCCCCAGGAGGAGGGGGCTGGGAGCAGCAGAAGAGGACTGGGGGCCACTGCTTCCTCACTGATGCCCCAGGCCAAGGCCCTCAGCCTAGATCCTCCCCTCTCTTCAAAGGGCTGTATCACCCTTTCTCTGGGGAACTTCAGCTGACCATGTCCCCATCAAACCCTGAGGAGGAGGTGCTCCCTTGGGCAGGCCCTGAGGCATGCACTATTCTATGCCTGTGATCCTGTGCTGCTATCTGGCCCATGTCCCAGATCCCAGGCACTCGCTGCCTTCTCTCCAGTTGGGCTGGGGTACTGCTGACCTGTCTCCCTCCCCTCCCGGCTCCCTGGACCTGCTCCATCATCAGACTGCCTTGTTTTCTCCCATTCTCACAGGCTCCTCCTCCATCTACCTCTTCCACCTCCTGATTTGAACCCCTTTGACCACAGGGTCAGATGCAGGTTTGTATCCCCCACCTCTTATCATGCTGAAGGCCTAGCGGTATGGCCTTGGTCCATGGCCTGGCCTGGAGAAGTGGGACCAAGAGTGAGCTCAGGCAGGGGCACTGGGG